TCCGAACATCCTACCGACTTCACCAAAAGCTCCAAGCCACCTTCGCCGGTAACGGCCTTGCTTAGAACCAGAAAACCTGCTGTTGCTTTCGACACAGGCTCCCAGTCCGTCCGATTCAGCTCTAGTTCGACAAAATCCCCACGCACCAGGTTGACCAGCGACCATGTCAGCCGGTCCTCCAATGTAAAAAGATAGCCTTCCTCCCAACCTTCTACCAAATGTCCTAGCGCGGACATGGCGGTGGCGGAGGGAGACCCTTGAAGTCGTCCCTCCCTCAGGACTCCTTCAACTCCTTGACTGTCCTTTTCCTGTGGATGCGAACGTTAGGGTCGTGCTTCTTGCGGGAGACCTGCTGATGCTTTCGGCCACCTCGCCTGCCACGTCGACGTTCTGGATCACGATGCTTCCGTCTCTTCTCCTTCTGACCTGAACTCCTGCCTCGCTTTTCTGTCTCTTCTCTCCTCAATCTCTTCCTCTCCTCCTTCTCAGGTACCTCAACCTTTGGTTCAACCTTTGGCTCAACTGGTGGGGCGATCGATGTACTTGCCCTCTCAAGGGGTTCACGCTCCTCCTCAATCTCGTCCTCCTCGTCCGTGTACTCGTAAGTGTAACTCTCTTCTGGGTCTGGTTCCTCAGCCTCTTCACGCGGTGGAGGAGGAGGAACAGGTGGTATCTTTGCCGGTGGAGGTGCACCTTGGGACTTCGAACTGGCACCCAATCCTGTATTAGAAGCCAGCCTTGGCAACACCTCACGATCTTCTCTCACCTCAGTCAAGCGAAGGGACAGGTTGCGGAGCACCTTCACCTGCCTCGCAACGTCCACCAGCAACTCACCGGTTGCACGGCGGAGTTCTGGATTGCCCCACCTCGCTCTCAAGTCGCAATGGACGAGCTGGAGCGCGGAGCACGACGTGCACCAGCTGTCCTCGTCCAGCGACGGAAACTGCCTGCACTTATTGCACAGGGAGCTTCCGGCTCGTGCCATATGCGTGGAGACTATCAGCCGATAAATTGCGGCACATACAAAGGGTCGCCCTATGCTTCTACAGAAGACAAATGTACATAGATAACTTAGATAATCATAGATACATACGCTGGAACCAAATTTCCTTGAACTTTGACTGTGGAGCTTGGGGGACACGGCCAGAGCCTAGGGCCTAAAAGGGAGGGTTGGAAGGGTGTGGGGGGGTTGGGGAACCCTCACACCCCTTTACCCACCTTTCGCCTCTTTTCATCGCTGGCCTGCCGCTGCTTGAAGAGAAGCCAAGTGGAGCTTGACAGCTCACTGTGTGGCACCTGATCCGCTCACAAGCTCCCCGCCAAGAGGACCTTCTCGCCCAGGGGCAAGGGATAGACAACTTACTTTTTAGTGGTGATTTAATTTACGATGTACTGTGTGCACTTCATAGAAGTTCAAAAGAGTACGTCAGCTAAACTGAGTTTGAAGACTTCTTTGCAGGAACCTTCTGAAAGTACAGTGAAGAGTTGTGGGGCCCAATCAAAATGCATTCTCCGACTCTAAATCCTTTGAGGGTCTTCTACTCTAGGTGACTTGTTGAACGTACATGTTGAAACTTCTGCCTGGTCCTCTTCCCCTTACACTGACCTGGGCCAAAACCTTCGGCCTGGACCAATCATACCTCGTTACCTCTCCTGTCTATTCGTGTATGACCAAATGATGTTACTGTAAGTCAAGCTTGAACATCCAACTAAAGATGCCCATATACACCACTTGATAGTCTCAAAATGTTCCAGGTGCCTCAGCAATAGGACGGAGGCCTCTGGTGGTTTAGCCTGTTGACAGCGTGACAAGGGGCATACAGTGTGCATAGTGTCCAAAGCAAACACAGCAAAAGAGAAGCATGTACAGCATTCACGAGGTTCTAATTGTAGCTTCGTGCATACACGGCTCCGAACTTTTTAGGAACAAATTCAGGAACAAAAAGCACAATATACACCGATTTCTCTTGCCTGCTACCTCCTCTGTTCTTTCGAAAAGACCAGTATTGACTGCACCTACATCACAATGGCCCCGTCGACCAACAGTCAACAGTGAACAAGATTAACGGCCCATGCTGGTTTCCAGCCTTCTTTGCCTCGGCGTGTAACACTGTAGCAGTGGCACCTTCACCGAGCTCCTGTCAGGATTCGCATGCCATGTCGGACAAATTACATACATCGTTGTAGTGCATCAGCACTGCATAAGCCACCTCGGCCTGACTTACTTTGAGAAACGTGATGCTGAAGTGAAAATTACATGAAATTACTGCAGTACAGTACTTCTTTGTTTGCTGAAAAAACACCAAAGAAAAGTGTAAGAACGCTCAAAAGAGTCACTGACACAGCAGTTTTCAGTACATGACTTAAAAGAAAAAACAGAAAAAACATAGCAAAACTAAAGCGCACAAACGAATAAGAAGTGTATTGAGAGTCACTTTGGGCAAAATATTGACGAAATCTCCTCCTGTGAAGGATTGTATTTCGCGCGCCAATCGCCAGCCTCCATTTATATAAGGGCATCAAAGGACCGCCAAAACGTTGGTCATGCATTGCATGCATCTTGTTTGCTCGTTGTGAATTGGAACCCGCCTGGCGATGCACCACCATAGCCCGTGTGTGCAGCCGTGCTGGTGGGTCTTTGTTTCGCAACCGAGGCGGAGCTGATGCCTCCTGTCACCCATCGAATGCAAATTGTACCAATAGGCGTGGGGGTAGGGCCAGTAGGGAAGAAAGAAACGTAGAAGAAATGTTAATGTTAAGTCAATTAGGAACGCAAAAGAACCATCGCTGTATGAAATGTGTTGCAGATGCTTGTAGAATGCCTACCGCAACCTCTCCTAAATCAGCCCGAATAGCCCTACAACTCAAGGACATGTCTTTGTCCTTGGTCTCTGCTTTCCGCACACCGCATTCGGCACTGCACTCATTTCCCATTGCAATGTCATGGCATGGACGAAGCAAATCAAACTCCAAAAAGCAAAGCAGTTGCAATGCTCAAAAATGCCAGAGTCGTTGTATTTTTTTGCTGGCAACTTGCTCTCTGTGTGGAATGTCCCGATTTTGTCATTAACATCAATGACATGGTGACACATCTGAAGGGAGGCTGTTCAGGTCTCTTTGAACCAATCTAAAATGCCTGGGTTGTGCCGTCCAAGTCAAAAAACTCTAAACATTCGTATGGTCCACTAAAAATATTGATCAGCATTCACGATCTTCCAACCTCTCTTTAGAACAGGCTTGTTTGTTGTGGAGGTGAAATGTAAAACATCACTTGCCTTGAGGAGCCTCCGCACTATAAGTGATGTGCATGTTTGTTGTTCCCTTGGATATATACTGATGCAGCTGATGCAAATTTAAAAACCACAGGCTGTCAGAGCTTTTGTCAGAATTTAACAAACGCCCGCCTTTGAGGCACCCTTGGAAAGCTGGTTACCTGCAGAGCCTCTGCATGAGGATGTCAAACAAGTTGGCTCTTCTACCAATGTCACACACATGTAAAATGTAGAAGCTTCTTTGCTGCAAAGGTCGGCTGCACAGTAGGCTACTTTGCAAATGACTTCCAAGATGGTGCATCTTCAGGATGCCTTGCCTTGATGTTTTGGGTTTCTTTTGGCCTGGCGATCTCAAGGCGGAATAAACAGGATATTTTGAGCATCAAAGCCGAATCAATGTATTGGTTCCAATTCGATACACATCTCCAACATATTATGTTCCTTCAAGGTCGCAATGACAAAATTGAAGCAACCCATGTGGCGAAGGCAGCCATTATCATGACTGGCCTGTGGAGCTGCCTTGGCTTTCGGAACTCTCTTAGCCTAGGTGAAAAACTGCGGATGAACTTCTCCATCAATTACACTTACTTGCAGGAAATTTTCAATTTTCTAAAATCCAGCCTAAGTCTGGAAGGCAATTGTCGTTCCCAGGACTTGCACAAGCAGAATACAGAATATGCGCGTCTGATGGATTCGTGTTGACTCTTTAGCCCCGCACGCCGGGCTGCCGCAGGATCTCATTGACAGAACGGTGCCGCTTCCGCGTTTGCATGGGGCTTGCTCCCTTCTCACGGACGCTACATCAAGATGATAATCCAATAAACATTGTTTACATCTTTTGCTGACTCAGGTCCAGGTTTCCCAAATGCACTTGGTGGGGCCTGTCTTGCAGGTTGCTGATCTGATTTCATTTCAGGTCTGGTTTGTAATGCTGCAAACTCCTGTATATTGGCATATTTATCAGATTTAGGCTGTACCTGCATTAAAAAACACACACATAACCGCAGCCTCCTGGAAGCTTTTGTTTGAATGTCGACCAACAGTCAACAGTCCAAGAGATTGGGCCAAATACAACATGAAACAACAATACCCTGCCCCCTGCCTACATGGACAAAGAAGATAGATCCAGGAATTCCAAGGCTCAACAAGTAAAAGCTGATCAAACCTTCAACATGTTATACCTGTGTATTTTGTATTAACAAATCATGTATCTGCTGAAACTATTTGAGGCTATTTACTAGCAAGGATCGCTTAGCCTCTTTAAGGTACATTGACCCTGGGTGTGATCACAACAAGAGGTTTCAGGTCCAAGAAATGAACACCCTTTGAGACCTTTTGAGCTCGAAGAGTCGCCAATATCAATCAGCTTGAGGCAAAAGCAACAACAAGAACCATCTGTCCCCAAACAAGAGGGCTAAGATAGGCTAACGAATAGCAACAAGAAGCATGAAGGATCACTTACTTGCTGAGGCTAATTTGAACTGATTTCCAACGAGCACAGGCCGCAATAGCGAGGAATGTTCTTGCTTGATTTTTGATCTTTGCTCCTGCAGATTCTCCTTGGAATCTACAAGATCAATCTCCACCTTGAAATCCAGTGGATAGCAATACATCGAAGCATGTCGGACATGTTCAATCGTCAAATCAAACCAAGCATTACTGTAATCAATGAACACCTGTGTAGAGGATCCATCGGAGTATCGCTTTGTTTACTTAGATTATATTAGATTTGATTTTGTTCTTCTTAAACATTATGTAAATCGTGCCAGTCAAGGCCACTCCATTCCAGGCTCGATCCATTCAAGATCTAGCTGCTAGCTTCTTCAGTGGTAAAACTTGTACTGCTCAAAGTCGCATGGCCTTGTGGGCGCAAAAACGCTACTAGGGGCTCCTGACATCGCTACTAGGAACAAGAAGCTACTAGGGGCTCCTGGCCTTACCACTAGTAGCAATGTTCGCTACTAGGAGCAAGGACGCATGGCATGGGTTGGGGCAGAAACCAATGTAATTACTCTTGATTGTCACACCATGATTGCCAACATCTTGGGGTTGCCATGTTTGAGTCTGTCGGTAACTGCTTAGCCAAGCGGCACATCAGGCAAAATTGGGCTGTCTGGATACTTTTGCTGAAATGTATCTAGGAGTCTTTGCACTCCTGAGTCACAGTACAAGGTACAAACTCGCAAGTGAGGTTACCTCTCCTCAAGGTTCTTGAGCAGTCAGTCTGTGCTCTACAATCGAATGTATTCAGTGTCAACTGCTCAATCACATCTCAAGCACAAGTTTCCTGTGTCTCTGCAATCTCCTCACACCCTCCCCTGTAATTCTCCCAACGTTTTCTACCAACTGGTTTTGGTGCAACCAGCTTGTGCACAAGGCCTTTGAGGCTCTGGCGTTGCTGGTTGTCGGCCTCATTGTGCTTGTTGTTCCAAAATGCCTTAGCAAATGGCAAATGGACATGTCATTTCTTTGCTGATAGACTCCACTGGCGACTTGCGTGAGAAATTCAGCAAACAGGCAGCAACAGTTTGAGCACACATGATGCATGGCGCTGTAAATCCCGATAGGTGACCTGGCTACAAGTATGGTGAATGGTGCTGTGAGTGCACGCGAAAGTGCTCATGAGCCTTGACAAAACCCTGGGCGATCGAACATAACCAGCTTATGCTAGTCCCGCGAATGTCTGGCACAGGCCTACTGCATTGAGGCAAGCGCCTTCTATGGCCATGAAGTTTCTAGTGATTTCTAGTGATATCCGTGCAGGATGACAGTATGATTCCACAAATGCTCGTAGCTTTGTCAATATTCCACCACAAGCACCCTTCACAACCCAAGAGTCATCAATGTCTATGTTGGTGACAATGACCACCGCGGGCTCCGGAGGACCCAGCTGACTTATACAATCTTATGGACGCGTCCGTCACATTGGACATGACTTGCTGGTTATGTCGGCACCCGAACCCAAAGACTCAAGTTTGAAGGCTGGATACCCTGAAACTGCCTAAAACTCACTTACACACGTAGTGACTTGGCGTGGGCGATTGGGGTGGTATGATAAGCATTCATGATGCCTTTCAGTCCCGAATGCAACTCCCGTTCCATGAAAACCTTGCGCACAGTTGACCTCGCAATATTGATTTACATTTGCCAGTCCAACTGCGCTTCCTTTAAAGCTGGCATGCCAAACACGACGTGTACAAGCAAGTACGTAGTTGGCAGAGCATGTATATATATAAGCGAGAACTTGGCGCCTGTGTGAGTGAGTATCATGCAGCTCCCAGATGCCAAACAAGCCAACAGTATATAAGCGGCTTACGCATCAGTAGAAACAATATGTTCCTCATCCAGAAGTTCAAAAACAAAAAATCGAGAACAACATCACTTCGATTGACCAAGATTCTGTGCCAATGCCTTTGTCGCAAAGCCAGGGTCGATAGCGGCAAATTGATTGCCCGTAGCCCAGGCCAGCGATGTACCTCACAGGCGGACGCTACGGGGACGGACGAAGTCCACTTTGCTTCGTTTCAGCTCACAAAGGGGCTGGCGGCTGTGGGCTAGGCTACACAAATGGCGGAACTTGATGTGACATGCCCTCAAGATTGAAACGTTCATTGTGCAAGTCATTGCAAATCCATGTCAGACTGATGGTGGCGTGGCCATTGGGATGCTTTCAGTGAATCACTAACAACCGTTCAACTAAAAGGTGTTAAAATGAATATAAACGGCACACATAGGCATATAATGATGTACAGTATATGTATATTACATACATACATGAATACATATATATATATGTTCGAACCTGGCCCCAGTGGCCACCTTGGGGATACCCTGACCCCGATCCGATCGGCCGCCCCTTTTCTCTTGAGATGAGGTTGCCTGCGTCGTGTATCATGTGCGTTCTGCTCATGCTGGATGGATGACACGGCTTTTTAACTCCTATAGTGTTCTTCTTTCCAACCTTTTCCAATGATTGTTCGAATCAAAGGCCAGTGTACATCTGCACTCAACTGTTCAGCAATGGATCTACTTCTTCTTCTCACGAGGGTAGCAGCTCGACTGGGACTTGTCTGAGAAGCCTACTGCATCCAAGTATATAGTTGGCGAGGTCCTGGAATCGTCCTCCACGCTTTTGTCCGTGTTCATGGATCCACTTGAGATATGGCCTGCGCTTCGGATCGCTCAACAACTCCTTGTAAGACAGCTTCTCTCCAGCCGGCTTTGGGAGAGCACAGATCGCGCTACCCCAGTCTTCGATGTCGGTCACTCCTGGCGGTAGGGAAACCTGCTTGCCATGCCATGGTGGGTGCGATTGGAGGTTGCTCCATCATCCCCTTCGGGATCACCCTTTCACACATGATAGACTTGCCGGGGTTCTCCCCGTAAGTCACTGGCTCCCACTCTTCGTCAACTTCGGCCTGAGGATGATCCCTGAGCCTCTTGGAGGAATCGTTCATGCTGGACTTGTCACCTTTGGTGTTCACACCAAAATGGCTGCCAGTTCCTCTGGCGTCACTGGTGTTGACGGAGCGCTCATTCCGACAAGGTGATGCTGCTAAGCTTGGGACCACTGCTGAAACCAAAAACGATCGTTTGCAATCGAGCTGAACAAAATTGTGTATTTCTGCACACTCGTTCAAGCTGAAACAGAACACACACGAACTGATCCGTTTACGAAATGAAAGCACAAGCCCTAATGCATTCAGTCATTAGCTTGAAATTCACTCTGACCAGTTCTATACACAAAAGCGCTCTTCTAAGACTCACCACACGAATCAAAGACACAATGCGCAGCTGGTAAGTGATCTCCTACACAGGCTTATCTTAACGCGCAAAAGACATAAATTCTTCTTCTTTCCTGCTAGGCGCGTCAAGTCCAAAATCAAGTAACCGTTACTTAGACAAACGAACAAAGGCATGCAAAGGAAAGACTACATGGCTTGCCTCATACTCTCTTCACTCCTTAGGTTCTCGACGTTTCAGGGCGATCTGCTTTCTCCTTTCTTTTTCCTCCTTCCTATAGGTCCATTTGCTCATCTGCCAGTTGATAGCGTGAGCTGCGGAGAACTGAACGGAGCAATTCGATCGGCTCGGCTCGATCTTTGGTTAAGGCGTCAGCCGTCATGTATGTGGTCGAGTCGGACACCATCTAGGCTCCAACTTTGTCCTTTGGATTGACTGTCTGATGATTGCAATGTCGATGGCTGTTCTTTTATCATCAAGGACACTACTGCTACCGAGGTGATCATACAATGATCGACAGTCTGTCATGCCTATTGGGGATCTTCTCAACAAAACTTCTTCGGCTTCCTCGGCTTCCTCAAGGATGAACGGACCATCCAAACATTCGGCCATCATCAACAGCATCCATTCACACACGTCGGACGCGGTGGAGAAAGCTTGCGCTTCACCCGACATGGTCGAAGCAACCACTCTAGGCAAACGATGGGACTTCCAAGCAAAACAGTGAACAGGCACATCTTCTCCCTGTCGCATTCTGTCTGAGGAAAAGGCAACTAGCCATCCACCTTAATTCTTTAGTTCAGAAGGCTGCATCTGACCAACAGCATAAGGTGAGTTCTTCAACAGGGATGTATGGTACATGTATCTTTAAGTCTGACTGCTGACGTGCACGACGCACTGCTTGATTTGCTTGAATGAGGTCCTGCACCTTTGGTGTTGGGAAGCACTGTTGGCTCATTGATGTCTGTACTGCTAAATCTGGACGAGACTGAGTGCTAATCCAACTGAGCACACCGTTGACGGCGCGCAGTGCTGAGACTTCTTGTGCATTTGCAGGAAGCCATGGTTTCTTGGCCCTATCCTTACTTATCTTGATTGGGGCGATGTGTTCGGCATATTCCTGCTGTTGAAAGCTAATCTCAAAGGTTTCCAAGTTCTGCTCATAGATCGTTCCTAAGAACTCCCAAGTCCCCGCACGCCATTTTCTGAAAGGAAACCTGGCACGCAAACGTTCGATTGCTTTCTCATAGCAAGGTCCCACACCACCGGTGATGGTATCGTCTACGTGTGCTCCTAAAATGCCCTCCAACCGGGTGTCCTCCCCATAACAAAGGTACAGGCAGTTGTCGAATTTGCTTCTAACAAAACCGGCCTCTAAGGCAACTCTATTGAACTCACAATACCACTCGTGTGGAGCGTCGTTGGCTCCGTAGATATTTCCTAACACTTGAACCAAGGAACCTGTCTCGACTCCCGGCACACCACCGGGTGGCAATTCGGCGTACACTGGATTACTTAAGGCCTTTTGGCGAACATCTGCCTCTAGGAATGCGCCTTTTATATCCCCTACAGTAAGTGCATCTTCCAATGATTGCTGACCAACATCTGCAAAATCAAACTTCTGCTCGGTGAGTGACACTTCCCGGCCAAGACCTTGGTGAACAAGTCTGGGTCGTGATGCCCACGGAGGCACCATCGGCTTTTGATCTTTGAATTACCATCCTCATGTTTCTCAACGATTACGAATCTGCTGGTCATGATTCGGTCTGGACAATGGTGACGAATTCGTTGTGCCTCTTGAGGAGCAATCACGCGCAGAGCCTGCTTCTCGTCTCTGAGCCTTGTCCATTCAGTCACTTTCGATGCATCAATCAGCTCTTGGATTTGAGGAGGATTGTTCGAGTGATGCAGTTCCTTCTGGAGCTTCTTCTGAAGAAAGCTAGCGACTAAAACTTCAACACTTTCGGCGTGGCCATACTCAGAGACAAGTTCTGCAAACAGGCACGACTGATCTTCCTCCGTCCGCTGGCTCTTGCTGGAACCGGATGTGTTCCCATCTGGCGAATGACTTCTTTTGGTGCCATGATTCTCTGTCAAAACGTCTCGCAAATCGTCCATGACAGTTTCAACCGGTCGAATCAGGAAGGTTGGGGGACTCTTGGAATGTTGACGTACCCGAACCGGTGTTCTATTGTGGTTCTGACACTGGTCGACCGTATGGCATGCTACTGTCTGAGGTTTCTTCCCTATTTGGTTCATTGTTTGTCGAATTTCCTGCTGACGCGTGTTTTCCTGAAGTCACTTCCGACGGAACTGGTCCAGCGACTGGGCCTGCGAGTGTCGTACTTGCTTCCAGGCTCACTGGTTGACTTGAACGTTTCTCCTTAATACGAAATGACTTTCTCCTTTCAATGGTTCTTCTCCCCACCTTGCATCTTGAGAATCTGGATTGGACAAGGAATGATGCACAACACATTCTTTCGTGTCTGTTCAAATGGTCTTGCGCCAATTGTCGAATGAGAGTCCAAGAATTGCCGGATCTGTTGACGAAGGCCAAAACAATGTCGTCCTAGGCTCCCTGTGAATCCTCAACATGTAATCCCCTTGACGCAACCAGAAATCTTCCCCTTGGGGTATTGGTGTTCTTGCTTGTTCTGGTGTCGGTGTGTTTGTGAGGTCAACAAACTGCGAACCTATCTGCTTGGGATCAACGTCTTGCAACATCGAAGACAATCCTAGCATCTCCCTGCCATCGGCCTGGGCGAGAACACGTTCGCCCTCGGTTGCATGTCTCAAGTGTTCTGGAGCAACCTTGAAGATGTTCTTCCGATGGAAAATGAGGAAACTCCTACCGACCTTTCCCATGACAATTGCAACTCCGTACCAACGGCCTCCCACAAGACAAACACCCTTTTGGTATTTCTGGGTTCTCCAGTAAGCAACGAAATCCCCAGGCAAAAACTCCGTTTCAGCACGAGGTCTAGCATTTAAGGCTGCCCTTAAGCTTGCATCATCTTGAGACATCACCAAAGCCACTCGGGCCTGTGCTCGGATCGCGCGTACTCGTTCTGCGCCTTCATCGTGCAGTGGAGTCGAGCCTGCGACTGGGCATGGCCATTCCTGCACGCGGTCTCCTGCAACCCTGGGATTCCCACCGAAGACCAATTGGCAAGGTGACAAACCCTTTTGGTTCAATAACTCATTCTTTGCATTGCATGTTTGGATGATGCATTGCTCATACTCAGCTCTGTCTGTCCCTAGGTTGTATCTGGTCAATGACCTTTTGCAGGATGACTTCGAACAAATGTCCATGCTTCTCTACCTTGCCTAACTGGTTGTGTGCTTCTGCCGCGATCGTCGTGATGCGAGTGCCATCCTGCTCCAACCGTGCAAAAACTTCTTCTGCAGTGTTTGTTCTTGCCGGGTCAACGGAACCTGCCCATCTCTGCCAGGAATCTAAAAACGTCTTCTTCAGAACATCAGCCGTCTCTTTCGCAAACAGGGGAATCATTACACGCACTTCACCTGTTGATCAACTTTCCACCCTGGCAACAGTTTGGTATCCCATCCAATTCTGTGGTTGAAATCTGGCAGGAAGACAGGGAGTTGGTCTCTGTCTTTGCTGGCAAATCTCACGCTTGCCTTCAAGGCCGCTTCATTTGCACCTGCGTTCTTCAAGACACGACTAAGTGACCTTGTTGAGGGATGCCCCAAATTATTATGAAGCTTACGAACGAGGAGGTCCACCTGTCTGGCTTTGGAGGCAGCACACAGCTCATGAATTTCACTCTCACTTGGTCTGGGCGTTCTCGTCACTGACTCCTGAATGCATGAGAAGTGACACAGCTGCGGACGAATGCACTTCAACTTCTGCAGCCCTAGCACTACGGTTTACACCATCACCTGTGTGACCCTCGATCAAATGATGACTCTGGTGTCCTGGGCAAGGCAAGGCGAGGTCCGCCATGTCTTCACGCGACACTGCCAATCCGGTGGCTTTCAGCATAGGCTGTCCACTGTCGGCATCCTGCAAACCATAGGCACACATGTTTGCTTTGCGCACTGTCAGTTGACCATTCTGCAACAGCTTCTTGATAGGAGGATATCTCCATAGATCACTGGACCATGGATGCTCCAACAGCACCCTGCCACCTCGCTTCAGCTGTTTCCGGATTTGTTGCGCACAGAAATCGGCTTGAGTCCGAGCAGCTCTCTGATTGCGCAGCTGTTGTTCCATAGGCAGCTTGCGGCGATTGAGCCTGTACCATCCACCCCAGTGCTTGCGCTCAGGACAGCACACTAGCAGCTCAGGCTTAGTTTCCTCCAGCTGTTGGTCAACTGTCTTCTGGACTTTCGGGTGGGTCAAATCCCATCCTTGTTTGATGTCAAAGGCCAGACCCTTCTCTCCTCTCTTCTCCAGCTCAGCTGAAAACCGTGGTGGAGAGAACAGTTCGGCCACTGCCACTGTGCTCTGGTTCTTTTCCCAAGCCTCCCGATGTGCCAACAAACAACGTTGCTCACGCTTCGTCAACACCCGCTCGGGTCCAGCAACTAATGCACAATGTTCACAACTACCGACCAATGTACAATGCTCACAATGATCAACCAACGTACAATGTATCCCATCGACCAATGTACAATGTTCAACACCATCCGACACTGCACAATGCTCAACACCATCCGACACTGCGCAATGCTCAACATCTTCGACCAATGTAAGAGCGTCACCTCCCGGTGAATTCTCTTCACCGGAAGTCTCTTCACACATCAGCGCTTCTTCATTGTCCATGACGTTGAGGATGAATTGTCCGGCGGCATTCTTCTGCAAGCTTCTCGGCTGGGAACCTCCGATTGAGATTGTCTCAGCCTCAAAATCCAGTACAGCGCGCAAACTTTTCATGGTGTTTCGACTGAGGAGGAGTGGTGCACTCCCTTTGATGATGCAGCAATCAATGCGACCTGGCCGGCCGTGAATGGACACAGGCATTGATACGCTCTTCTTGTCCATTTCCAAACCTGAACAGATTCTGCTGACTCCTTGTTGTCGGGGTGCTCATGTTCTGCTCATGAAACAGACGAAGGAACTGGTTCAAGGTCTCCTGTCCAATCAAAGTCCTACTACAGCCAGAGTCAATGATGCCATACCCGGGGGACGAGACCAGATATGCCTCCTCCACCATCACTGCACCATGCGCTTTCTCGCGCTCTTGCTTGCTGCTGGATGCTCCACTGCTTCGCTGAGCGCAATTTCTGGCCCAATGGCCAATCTGTCCACATTGCCTGCATCGAGATTTCTTCTGCAGTTCAGTGACTTCACGTGAAAACTGTTTGCTGACAGCATTGGCCTGCCCGAAACGTCTTGACTTCTGCAGCTTGGACATCTCCGACCGGCGTTCACGCCAGGTTGCAGCCAATACTTCAGCGATTTCATCCTCTTCATAGGTTTCGTTTGTTGCATTGGGCTCATTCATACTGCGTTCAGCCAAAAAGGCCTCAACTTCATCAAAAGCCACAACGTCTGGGCCGTCGTCTGAGACAGCGGTAGGTGGAAGCTCCACCTCTTCATCAGCCTCCGACTGTTGTACCAACAAGGCTGGCGCCGCACGACCTCGGCGGTTCGCCTTGAACTCTGGAAAACAGCTGCGCATTGCAGGAGCGACCACCTCGAACTTGAGCTCTCCCTGCGTCTTCGCAGTCACGATCGCTCGTTGATCCGGCGACAAATCCGACGAAGTCAAACAGATCCAACCCCGAGCCTCGCTCGGGAAGTCCACACTGACCTTGCGCCTGCACTTGGCGAAAGTCTCCTGCACCCTTGACGTCCAGGCTGCAACTGACTCGCCGTCGCGAGCGGCAAGCTCGAAGACCTCTTTGAGGCATTCAGCCAACCAGTCATGGGACAACCTGTCTGGAAATCTTTCTTCCAATGCCGCCCAAATGCGCTTGTCGCCGTTTTACCCTTTCAGCTTTTCCAGGGTCAAATACTCTACAGCTTCCAATGCCAGTTCGTCCAGCAAACAAAAAACTAGACGACGGGTGGCCCGAAAGCACTTTTTCATCACGTAGGAAGTCAGAGTGTGAGTTATCCGTTAAGCGTTCAGTGTGAAGGGTTTAAGTCGATTGAGTTGAGGTAGTGTGTGGGTCTCTGTGTGTGTATCTATGTCCGTGTGTATATGAGTCTCTGTATGTGTGTGTGTGCGTGTCCGAGTAAGTTGAGGCAGTGCGTGGGTCTCTGTGTGTGATGTGTGTGTGTGTGTGTATATGAGTCCCTGTCTGTGTGTGCGTCCATGTCTGCTGCTGGTGAAAGTCTTCACTGGTGAAGGTCTTCACTGTACTACAAAGTCGCCACTTCTCAGCTTCCAGCTCCACAGATTGCTCCGCGTACTACAGTTGTACTACAAAGTTGCCAGTTCTCATCTTCCAGCTCCCCAGATACTCCGCACACTACAGTTGTACTACAACTTCGCCAGTTCTCATCTTCCAGCTCCCCAGCGACTCCGCGTACTAAAGTTGTACTACAAAGTCGCCAGTTCTCAGCTTCCAGCTCCACAGATTGTTCCGCGTACTAAAGTTGTACTAGAAAGTCGCCAGTTCTCATCTTCCAGCTCCCCAGAGACTCCGCGTACTCAAGTTGTACTCCAAGGTCGCCAGTTCTCAGCTTCCAGTTCCACAGATTGCTCCGCGTACTACAGTTGTACTACAAAGTCGCCAGTTCTCATCTTCCAGCTCCCCACAGATACTCCGCGTACTAAAGTTGTACTACAAAGTCGCCAGTTCTCATCTTCCAGCTCCCCAGGTACTCCGCGTATACTAAAGTTGTACTACAAAGTCGCCAGTTCTCAGCTTCCAGCTCCACAGATTGCTCCGCGTACTAACGACGTGCTAGAAAGTCGCCAGTGCCTGCATTTCGCGCACTCGACACGCACGGTCTCCGCAGAGGGTTGCGCGCGGGCAGGACAAATCGCACTCTCGCCTGCATTTCGCGTACTCGACACGCACGATCTCCGCAGAGGGTTGCGCGCGCACAGATCCAATCGCACTCTCGCCTGCATTTCGCGCACTCGACACGCGCGATCTCCGCAGAGGGTGGCATTTTCGGTTGACGCTGTTCGTCCCACCCTCCACCTTTAAGAGAGAATTTATAAAGTGGGGAAATGTTTTTCATTAGGACATCTCCCGTGCAACTTTTCCATACTCACACTTGCATACTCATTGCACTTGCATACTTGCCGTTGGATGCTTTCACTCTTCCACTTACACTGGGGTACGTATAGAAGTGTAAGTGTTCATGTTCACGTGTTCATGTTCAAGTGTAAGTGTGAAAGCGTAAGTGTTCAAGTGTACGTGTCGAAATGTCAGTGTTCAAGTGCAAGTGTGGAAGTGTCAGTGTGTAAGTGTAAGTGTCGAAGTGTCAGTGTTCAAGGGATTTTCCGGAAGAGCCATTCGCAATGCTTTCGGGAACAAAAGGCCCCCTGTGGGTAGGAGCCATGTCCTTCGTTGAAGCCATGCGAGCCTCTGCCCAAAGCCTCCATCTCCGAAGCTCTCGAGGGTCCAAACTGTCTCCACTGAAACGTCGGTTGTTCCCCCCGAAAGATTCTCCACTAGCCATGGCGCCCCAGTCCTACCTAAGACAATCCACCGCCCCTGGATGCCCTCCCCTGTGGGAGGGCTCCGCTACCAATGTTCGAACTTGGCCCTAGTGGCCACCTTGGGAATACCCTGACCCCGATCCGATCGGCCGCCCCTTTTCTCTTGAGATGAGGTTGCCTGCGTCGTGTATCGAATGCGTTCTGCTCATGCTGGATGGATGACACTGCTGTTTAATATATATATATGTTACATATGCAACTTAATATGACAAGCTTGTCACCAGAACTTGAAAGCTGCGTTGTCAGTTTGCTGCACTGCATGTGTTCCTGAAGCTGGACACATTCCACTGATAACTAGCGTCTGACGAGGCCATGCAGCACAGCGGCTCTCTGCCCCCAGTTTTCATAAACGAGGTGTAGTCCTTTATGCCGACAACCTCCTTGGATGGAAAAAGAAAATCATATTCAAATGTCTATACATAAAATTCTAACCAACCACTATAAGTGCAGCCTGACTGTATTTTTCATACGCCAAGAATATGCTACTAGACGGTCCACTATTTCCTCTATCACATTTCAGAAGTGACGCATTCTGGGATGATCTTTTGTGGCACAAGCAAAGCTTACTACAGCTTGCAAAGTTGCATCTACCGTGACTTGCCCTGCTGGCTCGTAGTGGTATGTGCCTCGGCTGGCTTGGCTTGATGTGCATGGACTGCCAGGCGACATTTGAGATATGCCATGCAGTTCAGCAACCATATACTCTGGCTAGATGGTGTGCAAAAATGATTTCCCAGTTCAATCAGTCCAGTCAATAAATACGCATAAGACCTGCTTCCAAAATGATCGGAGAAACACTAGAATCACTAGAAAGCAGCTCCTCGTTGCATGCTTTCTCCTTGCATCTCCTTGCTAGTGTTGGGTCCCTGAAAACAGTTTTCCTTTACAAACAGGTGGTTTTCCACTTCCATCCACTTCCATGTTAGTGAGTCGGAGGGCAACCAATCTGAACTTGCATACCATGCCCGTCCACAGGCCGTCTCTAGTGGCTTTCCGCACTCACCCAGCCCAGTATGCTTTTGATTCATACTCTCGAAACCATTATATACTCGTGTTTAAGAAGTATGTGGCTACCACGTTAGGGAAGGCCAGAAAGAACATTCTGACGTTCTTGTTACAAGTGCTAACAAGTCTGACCCAGCCACGGCGCAATCACCCTTCCCATCAGGCTCACCAGGGCATGCGCCACCAGGCTCTGCTGCCACACACCTTGAGAACGTTGCGCACACAAAGATGCCTGATTCTTGCACTGTGTAAACAATGAAAGGTTGGAGGCCATTGCTATTAGCAAACGTTCAGGTTCGCAGCTTGGTTTTAGGCCCTCAGGCCCAACATGGCCCAACCGCTCCCAAATTGAGTTCTCAGCATTCCTCGACGGTTCGTCTTCTTTGAGCTTCAGTGCTGCCACTACTATATAGTTGCTTCAATGCAAACGGGAACAGCTTCAACTTTTGGATTTGGGCGGCAACTGGATGCGGCTTTGATCAGCTTTGCATTGCCGATCATCTGCTTAGAGCTGGCTTCATCCATGCCGTTATCAGAAATCTTTCAGGGTATGTCCTGTGCCTGAATGGTGAAAAAATTGTTCATGTAATTGATAGACTTTCGTGGACCTTTGCGTGCGACGATGCAATTGGCGAGTCTTGACAGTACAACAGCAAATCTGCAGGTTCTCTTCTTTCCGGTTGATATTATCTTGTGCAGATTGAATGTCCAAAGTAAACATGAACATTAATGAACATGGATAAACAGTAATCTTCTTGTTGGACTTTCACCTTTACGGGCCTAGGCTTTGACACAGCCATCTCGTCTCCAATCAAAGCTAGGCTTTGGCACGCGTCTGTGTGCGCTTTGTAGCTTTTGCTGTAGCAAGGTCCGGGAAAGCTATACCTTGGCGGCGCGTGTGTGTTGTGTTGAAGTGTGCATCAAAAGGGTTGTATGGACAAAACCAATTCAATTGAACGCTCCGAAGCTTCATATTATATTAGATTTTTAGATCCAACTTCAAAGTAGGGGTGCTCATAAGAAACAACATCATTGCTGCGGGAGATATGTTCAAATATTTTAGACATAGTATAGTCTTCCAAGCGGCCAAGCAGGCTTGCCGTAGTACTTGGCGTCGGCAAATTGGGTTGTGGGAAACTGATAGACCAAGTTGCACCCGACAAAGTAACCATACCTTAGAATAGCTGGGGCAAAATTGCTGTTCGGCAAGCTAATCATGAAGCATAAGTTCATCGGTATTTTTATGTAAAATTATATAATATGATATAACATGTATTTTTACCTGTCAATCTACACTGTACTTCCGTAATTGTGAATCCACCTCCTGGTGCAAGTGACCTGGAGATAGGCTGAGTGACTTATCAAAATCAGAAGCGCAATCCCCAGGGCCAGTGCATTTCCCGCTGTCGAAGGCATAGCGCACCCCAAAGTCCATACCTCCACGGAATGGCTGCTTGTTACTAGTAGCGATGCACTTGTTTCTAGTAGCTTCTTGTTACTACTAGTAAGGCACTTGTTACTAGAAGCCATAGGTTTGATACATTTGAGATATGTCCCAAACAGAAAATGACTTCTAGAGTATGCATGGACATTGTCTGAAATTGCTGGACTGATAGCAGCATGGAGGACCAATTTGAACAAAAGAGGAAATCAAACCGATAGGACTTTGAAATCTCGCAAGTTCAGAAACGTGTGGATCTCCATTCTTAGTTCCAAGAGCTGCGATGTCAGACTATGTCGTGTTTGTTTTTTCCAAGCATACTACCAGCCCGAACTATCTCCGTCTGTACAAGACCCTTCCGGAGGTTCCACATGGTTGCCGCAATTTCTTGCTGATCTGTCGCCCTGCAAAACAACCTCCCTTAGGTCTTCCGCGTGCCACCATAGACTATGTCGTCTTGGCAAACATTCCAAAAACTACCTCGCAGGACCCAGGAACCCCTTGCCCGACACCTCGCCTTTCTGGAACAAGGGCTGCGGAGCTTTGTACTGGACCTTGAAGCGCACAATTCGCGTAATGCCAAACTTCCGCGGGGTAAAGATAATCACCTGGTGATCGGGCACTTGCAACTTGAACCCAACGGACAATCTGCATTCAGAATTGTTCTCCCAACAAAATACATGAGCAGTAAAACTGTAAAACTGAATCTTCAAGCCAACCAGAATGCAAGGAGCGTTCATACTATGTGCCTCAAGCACCACTCACTAAACGTTTAAGTCTTACAAATACATTCTACAGAATGCTACCAGCTCGTTTCACCATTCTTGCTCAAGGGGTGAACAATATCCGGGAGCACTTCCAGCGTGCAGCGCAAAGGAAGCGCAAGCAACATGTTCTGTTCATCCTTCCAATTAAACCCAACCTTTGGTAACAGGAGCTTCGAGCAGCCCTACTATATACAAATTTGTTGACCTGTCCTGGCTGTTGTGCCAACGTATTTGATCGGGCTTGACTGGAAAAACTCTGCTCCAACGTGCCTCATTATGAAGGTACCACATTACACCTGCAGCATTGGCAGCGTTCACATTCTCCAGTGGATAACTAGAGTCACTCATGGCCCGGTACCTTGGCTGCACACAAAGCCTTTCAACAACTGACTCTTCTTCATCTGTTTGAGACAAAATACAATAAAAACAAATTCCATTTTACTAGCAAACAATCATGTCCTGCCAAGGTACACGTAAAACTCAAGCAGTGGTGCTGAGCTTGGCAGGGCCAATGATCTGAGGTGAGGCAAATACCTGAGTCAAGTCAAAGTGGGTGAGAATACTGTCCGAAAAATATGATGAAATTGGCTGATAAACTTGCTTCAAAGACCACCCAATAGGTGTGACAACCCATGAAAAACCTTTCCGAGGTGCGAATTGCTCTTGACTTTATCTTTCATCTTTAGCCCGCTCTGGTCCTGCTTTGCGTTCAAACGAAAGAGTCAAAAGAGTGACAAATCTCAAGTGTGCCTCACTGCATTCTCAATGCGGGTCTTCGCTGTCTTTACAAAATTGACATTTCCAGGGTGTCTTACAGAATGATGGCATCGCTTTTGTGTTGTCATGTGGGCTCAAAACATCTTAAAACAACTATTCACGGGCACCTCACCATCTGCAGGTTGCAAGGTAGGCAAATCTTCAGAGACAGCCGGAGCAGGAGGTGGTGGAATTGGGCTGATGACACCTGGTTGACACGCTGAGGGTGTCTTACAGATCCAGGTCCCCCCAGAGTTTCTTGTCAAATCCGCTGTGACTGTTGCAGCCGAGAAAAGGGATATCGGGATACCACTTTGGGGATGAACTTCAAGGACACTTCACTTGCTGATGAATTTTGACGCTGTTTGGGGCTCATCTACTTACAGTAGCTATTCAGAAAAACTTGTCTGCAACTCCCAGGAAGCAAGCAAAGAAAACATTGCTCATGTGTCAACTGTCTCATGTTTTAGACCCACCCACCGTACCACAACCACCACCAGCAGCAGGATAGATCATGGACCCACCTGTGTGCACCATGACACTGCAGGACATCATTGGTCACATCATGCCAGCATTTGCACAAACCCATTCTGTTTGAATGTTCATATTGCCACTGACCTACATGTGATCCATCACATGGTCGCATGGTCGCATGGTAGTCTATTTTGTTTATTTTCCGTCGTCAACCAGAGTCCCCTGTTTTTTTACCCACAACCATATCTTACGGCCTACCAGTTACATATGGACCTTTATCGTTTGGGAATGGAAATGCGTATCCTACATCATGAGGGATGTCTGGAGGAGAAGTGGTGGTGGAGGAAAACATTGAAAAACAAATGAAAATTGACGGTTTTGCAAAATTTGATGTGGTGTGCCATATGATCTAGGACAGGACATGAGTGGATATGCCACAAATTATCCCAGATGTTGAAAGGAATCGTTAGTATGCCTTTCATGGACTTGGTGACGCAAACGATGCAATAATGAGACATTAATGAGATCAACTACGGTATTGCAATTGTCATCTCCAGGCTAGCATGCATAGTGTAAAGAAATGTAGTGACTCTATTTTTTGACCCCAATTTGCACATTCTTCAGAGGGTCCAACTTATATCCAACAACGCCTGCAGATTTAGTACGGTTCACTAGGGGTCGCATGTCGATCATGCATGTTGCATACTTTATTGTAACCACTCCGTTTCTCAGCCTAGAGATGATAAGTACCATGCAGTGGATGAATGAAATAAGTATGTAATATATGGGAAATAAGAAGTTGCAGTCATTGTTAGATATAAGTTGGACTCCCTGAAACAAGTGCAGTTTCAAGGTTGTAAAAAACTGAGTGAACCAGAAACTATACAATATGGTCCAACATCTTGCAAAAATATACAATATATAAACATCTAGAGTCCTGCTTGTGCTTATTCGGTTACGCATCATCGGGGGTGTTGGCTTGGACATGAATTACCTTTCTTTGCGCTCACTCTCGAAGCAAACAGTGCGGGCGGCCCGAATGACATTTGGTTTGTAATTAACATTATGTTGTGTCATTTGGTTAACTATGTCAGAATAACATTTTGCTGGTTCACTCCCGCCTGGAAGTAATTGAAATTGAGCTATGGAAGTAAGGTACATCATAGCACCAACAAATTTTCTTGTGATTCTTCTACAAGTGAACTTGTGGCCTGCCAGCTTTCATAAGCCCAACGTATCGTTGATGTCAATTCCTTGTGCAATCCCCCAGACAGAGAAAACGACGCAGCTCCCAAAGCAGCAAGTCGACGAAACTGGGTGAGGACACACAGAATGAAGAAAGCTAGGGTGTTTTTGCTGTCTTTGTTGCGCGTAGCTCAGTTCGATGGGGAGTTAAAGGAGATAGAGGCCATATCGCAGAAACAACCGTACGGATTGGAAACCGTACCCTAATTTGCAGGTCCTCATGTCAGATCCATTGGTAAGCGCAGTGACTTGTCATGCGCTTTGCCTAAATATAAAAGCTGTTTATGTTTCCTGGTTTTGGGCGCCCGTTTACGCTCTTGCTTCAACTTGATTACATTATCTTGCGATATGCTCTTACGCAATGCACTGACATGCCATAACATTTGGCTACTCATTTGGCGCATGTGAAAACAGCCGCTCGATCGCCTTCGCTCACTGCGAATTACACGCTCCACTGCGGGGAATTTGACCCTCACTCCACCCCCCCACCCCCCCAACACCATGCGATGACATGACCAAGCGTCGTGGAGTCCAAAAATGTCAGAAAAGTGGGTCCGGTTTTCAGTCCCTAGGCAGAAACAACAACATACAACTCCCTAGAAGGAATGCTTTGACATTGTGACATGCCTGCCTTGAAGGGCAAATGAAAAGAATCATTGCTTTTTGGGGACTAGTATGACCACGGGTCGGTGTAAGTAAGAAGAGAAGCTACTTGACGCTGGGACTAAGAAGGGCGAAGGGGCCAACGAAAGCTTTCTTGAAGAACCCTTCGCATAATTTAATTGGTTCCTAGATTTTGTGGAAAATGAAAGTTCTTTGTGATTCATCTCTTCCTTCCTACTATAACACATATTGGTATGAAAAATGGCCGTTGAGAAAACGTTTCGATGCAAGTACAAACATGAGAAACTAAAATGCCCATACCTAGAAACCTTCACACCCTTACCACCCTTCTAGCTTTCATCTCGTCCTCGCTTTTGCTGAGCGAAAGAATGGTCTTGCTCCAAGTCCACGAGTCCTTAAACTAACTTTTTAGTAGAAAGCTATCGAACGCAAACGTCACACCCGACTGCATTTGATCTTCTTTGCCCAGCAGGCTCGTCTTTTGTCTTATGACACCTCATGAAGACCGATTCAATGCAGGACGGTGGTGCAAGATTGTACTAGAACAAGCGTCCCCTGCCTGAAGCGCATCAATGGAGCTGTGAAGTCACATGCATAACACAACATGATCATGAGATGAACATCTTGGAGTATGTATATGGGGGTTGTTCAAAAGTCCTTTCATTTTTTCCAGGCCTTTCGCAGGACCTTCGCGAAGCTTTCGCAAGCTTTCGCGCGTGGGGTTTTACCACTGTCGGCGAAAATGGTTTTTCGTTGGGCCTAGAGGCTTTCAAGGATTCATGCAGTTGCCCTGGCACGTCTTGCGTCCTCTGATCACTGACACATTGATTGCCGAGGAACAGGAAGCCAGCCAACCAAGCCACTTTCATTTTGGTGTGTTTTTGGTTGGGCGCAACCCTCCATGAACAAGAGACGGCTCAGGCCAGTTTGCTTAGACTTCGAATTTGCTTTTTCCCAGGCCGGGCAAAAGCAAAATGGTTCAGACTTCCAATTTGCTTTTTCCCGGGCCAGGAAAAAGCAAAATGGTTCAGACTTCCAATTTGCTTTTTCCCGGGCCAGGAAAAAGCAAAATGGTTCAGACTTCGAATTGCAAAATGGTTCAGACTTCCAATTTGCTTTTTCCCGGGCCAGGAAAAAGCAAAAGGGTTCAGACTTCCAATTTGCTTTTTCCCATGGTCCAGACTTCCAATTTGCTTTTTCCCGGGCCGGGAAAAAGCAAAATGTATCGGACTTCCAATTTGGAAAGCAACTTGCCTCACAGATTTCCAATTGCTTTCGCCAGCCTGGAAACAAACAATCAGCGCCGGGGAGGCTCAAGCCCACAACCTTCTGCTTATGAACCCGGCGCCTTATCCATTAGGCCACAGCTCGCTGGAAAAATGTTTCAGGCTCACGAAAGGGGAAACTGGATGTCCAGGCTGCTCACCCAATTTGCTTTTCCCGGCTCAAGCTTCCAATTTGCTTTTTCCCGGGCCGGCAAAAAGCAAAATGGCCCAAACTTCCAATTTGCTTTTTCCCCGCAAAAGGCTCAGGCTTCCAACAAAAAGGTTCAGACATCCAATTTGCTTTTTCCCGGGCCTGGGAAAAGCAAAGGGCGCAGACTTCCAATTTGCTTTTTCCCGGGCAATGGTTCAGACATCTAATTTGCTTTTTTTCCCGGGCCTGGAAAAAGCAAAATGGCTCAGACTTCCAATTTGCTTTTTCCCGGGCCTGGAAAAAGCAAAAGGCTCAGACTTCCAATTTGCTTTTTCCCGGGCCGGGAAAAAGCAAAATGGTTCAGACATCCAATTTGCTTTTTCCCGGGCCGGGAAAAAGCAAAATGGTTCAGACTTCGAATTTGCTTTTTCCCGGGTTCAGACTTCCAATTTGCTTTTTCGCGGGCCGGGAAAAAGCAAAAGGGTTCAGACTTCCAATTTGTTTTTTCCCGGGCCGGGACAAAGCAAAATGCATCAGACTTCCAAGTTGGAAAGCAACTTGCGGCACAGATTTCCAATTGCTTGCCCCAGCCTGCAAACAAACAATGAGCGCCGGGGAGGCTCGATCGAGCCCACAACCTTCTGCTTATGAATCCGGCGCCTTATCCATTAGGCCACAGCTCGCTGGAAAAAAACGATTTTTGCAGGCTCACGAAAGGCAAACTGGATTTGCTTTTCCCGGCTCAAGCTTCCAATTTGCTTTTTCCCGGGCCGGAAAAAAGCAAAATGGCTCAGACTTCCAATTTGCTTTTTCCCAACCCAGGAAAAAGCAAAATGGCTCAGACTTCCAATTTGCTTTTTCCCGGGCCTGGAAAAACCAAAGGACAACGCTCATGCTACATCCTGAGAACCGCGCGCTGGAGTCACCGACCGTGTTGTATGCAATTACAGCCGTAGAACCCACCACCTCACCTCACATACCTGCACTTGCACCTGCAGCTGGAGTGTCCAGCGCGTGCTTCCAGCTGTCGTCTTTCGCGTCCGCAATGCAAACCTTTCGCCATACTTGCGCAGTTTCCCACGACAAAGAATTTTCCAAGGGTCGGGAAAAAGCACATGGAAATGTATCAGACTTCCAATTTGCTGTTTCCCGTCAGGCTTCCAATTTGCTTTTTCCCGTGCCTGGTAAAAGCAAACGGCTCAGACTTCCAATTTGCTAGCTGGGAAAAAGCAATTTGGCTCACAGATTCCCACTGGCTGTCTCCAGCCTGGAAGAAAAAATTCGCAACAGGGAAGATTTGAACCCACATCCTTCTGCTTCCGAGCCTGGTGCCTTATCCATTAGGCCACGGCTCCTTGATTTAACTTTGTAAATCTGATACAAACTGCTTGTTGCTTACTTTTTGGGCCTTGGGAAAAAAGTTGAAGTCTGAGCCAACGTGCTTTTTCCAAATTTAACTCAGATTTCGAATTTGCTTTTTCCCGGCCCGGGAAAAAGCAAAATGGTCTAGACTTCAATTTGCTTTTTCCCGGGCTGGGCAAAAGCAAAATGGTTCAGACTTTCAATTGGCTTTTTCCCAACCCAGGAAAAAGCCATCGGAAGTCTGAAGAGCAATTGTTCTTGCAGCGTGGCCAGGTCACCAACATGACTTGCGCAGACCTTTCGCAGGACCTTCGCGAACCTTTCGCGACTGCAGTGAGAGCACACTCGAAATCAGCCTTTGAAATTCGATTACTAACAAGGAAGAGGTGGGTTTTTGAACGACGCTCATATATTATATATGATATATTATATGCAGTAGTGTTAAGTTTCCCGCAAAACCTACGAACAAAATCATTAATTAGTGCGAGCGCGAGCTATCCTGCGTCCTGTTTCTAGAAGCTAACTAGTATCAGGTAGCTTACTTCCTTACTTAATACTTAATAATTCAGTAAGGGCGGGCAAAAAAAAAGACTATCGTGACACATCCAGTGACGATGACAGGGTAAGACCAATGTAAGACCAATCGTCTCCCTTGCAGTGACTGGTAGGCCAAGTTGCAGGTGTGGTAGGACAAAGTCGGCCAAAATCCAACGCCACTGCATTCCGGTGGTCCAGGGTAGCGGTAGCGGCAGCAAGCGTTGCCAGGGCCACAGAAATGGGGGCAACTACCTGGAAAGCTGTAGAATGCTGTAGATAATTATATAGGAGCGACGTAAGCAATTCGATCTCTTATTTGGAAACCAACAAGCTGTTGGGTCCAACTCAACTGATTGTTGAGACCCCTGAAGCGAGAATGGCACCATTCTGAGCAATTCATTGAGATGATCTCGATGCCCGAACTAAGATTCTAACCGGACTTGCGGCCGCACATGGTCCAGCAATTTTGGGCGTAATGCCAAATTCGGGGACCAGCACCCAGCATGTTCTCGTCAAGTCCTACCATGTGTCTCGTCACGGCGCTTTGATATGTCTTCTATCTGTCTGCTTTAATAAACTTTGTATTTTATAGTTTGTTGCCCTTCCTGCACTGAAGTACGGCCGGCAACCTGTGGCAGACTTCCAGAACAGATCCGGTCAAAGCTTCCCATTTGGATCATTTGGTGCTTTGCGGTCCTTCTGAGTTGGACATCATACAATCACCACACTCTCCAGTGCCTGGACATTTGACTTGACAGGTCAGCACAAGTCTTAATCACCCTCTTTCCTGTTCAGTAACGTGTAAGGCCTTGCAGATTAATGACCTCTTTGATCCCTTTTGTCCACGTGAAAACTGATTCTTTCAGTGCAAATCAGTGCAGTGATTGCACCTGCTGGCATATGCCAAACGCAGCCATGGCCAAGTTGCTGGAATTTGGAAGGTCTCCAAGGTCAGTACTTTGTACAGCACCTGCTCAAGCATCGCCAACGCAACGTTTCACATTTTCCAAATCGCCAATGGTTCAACAATCTAGCCTAGCTGAGAAATCACCGTCAAACCAAAGCAAACATTGCCATCATTTCGGTTTACCCCACCGTGCAGCTGCAAGGCGTTGGCAGCGCAGCTGGAAGAAGCGCATTCATCGTCCCGTGCCAGCAAGTCTGTATCCTGCCATGTGCGCAATCATCTGGATGATGTTAGGATGGTCCGTGTGCCTTCACAAACATACACTACAATGTTGATTTCAGGCCATTAATAGCCAAATGTTCCTGCCTGAATCCGCCGGCGTGTCTTGTGGATGTTTTTGTATTTTGATTGCGCTATTGTCTAATTGTCTAATATTAAAGTTGCTCATCGTTTGGATTGCTCCTCTGCGCGGACTTTTGCTTCGACTAATTTGAGCCCCCCCTCCCCCCCCGCACGTTGTTGTCTTCCTCGTCGCCTTCGTCAATTGTCGTCGTCGTCATCATCGTCGTCGTCATTTTGCACGCGTGTCGCCTGTGTTTTGCCTGCTTCACGGCGCTTTGCCATGGTTTTCAAAGCATTTGGCCCACGGGTTGGACCAACCACCATGTACACCCAGCCTCGGTTTAGGCCAACCACGATTTACACGAAAAACGGTTTACACCAACCACCGTTTACACAACACCACGGTTTACACCAACCACCATTTACACCACATCACCGTTTACACCAACCACCATTTACACCAAACACTCTTGACACCAAACTACGGCTTACACCAACCACCGTTTACACAACACCACCGTTTACACCAACCACCGTTTGCACCAACCACCGTTTACCCCCAACCGCGGTTTGCACCAACCATAGTTTGCAACGCACCCCACTTTACACCAACCACAGTTCACATCAAGCCATGGTTTTTACCCATCACCATCACCGTTGGCTTGCGAATGCTCTTGTGTTGCCACCGACGCCTTTTCTCAACACCTATATCTAATCTTTTCGCACTCTTAGAGTGGATTTAGAGCACCGGTCTGAGCCCACTAATGACTTCCATTGCCTTCTTCCTCCACGCGACTTTTTACCACCTCTGCCTTTCCACACAGCCCTTCCCCTCCCCCGGCTCGCCCCATGCCCCACTGCAGCCTGCAATTGTAATACTTACTCTATAGGGCCAGCCCTTGCCGTTTCTCTGCGTTGCGTCTCCCACCGCCTTGAGTCAAGCTCCTTATTATGCTTTTTGCTGGCGACATGTTGCTCATCTGCCTTCCCTTCACCCACCTACACCTGCTCTATCGGCAGGAGTCAATTTATGCCTTCCTCTAGGGCCAGCCCTTGCCGTTTCTTTGCTTTGTGTCTTCCCCTGCCTTCAGTCTAGCTCCCCTTCTCATGTTTTTTTTGATCACGACACGTTGCTCCTCTTCACACATGCGGAAGCATTCAGCCGTGGAGGCCAACGGCACACGCCGCTGGTTAAATTTCTCTCTTACCTTGGGGAACAGTTGTGAGGAGGCCTGACTACCAGCAACCAGGAGCGCCAGCTGTAGCTGCAATGATATGCCTGAGCAGGTCAACTTGGTAAACAACAAAATGCATCATTGAATCATGATGTATCAACTCCAGATCTTTGAGAGTGACAATACCTAATTAATATATTGCGTCCAAGATGCTCCAGATGCGCAATGACACCATGATCAATGCTGCTGGCGGAAAGCACTTTGGTTTTGGAAAAGGTGCCAGCTCTGAAGCTAAGCAAATTGAGCCCAGAATTCGCACAGTTTCACACAAACTCTCTCAAAACACCTATCTGATCTCAAAATTGAATCGTGAATCTGGTCAGTGCAGCCTCCCAAAAGACATCAAAAGACCAAACATTGCAGCTTAACGAGGGTGACACATGCTGCCGCGCTGACGTGTACATTGCGTGACTTTGTCCCTCGTTTGAGATTCTGGGTGCCGGCACCATGCTACCTTCTTTGCACACGCGCAAACGGCTTTGCGCAACCTTACCCCAGTGGCACAGGATTGGAGAATTCTTCTAAGGAAGAAACCATGGAAATGACCAGCCAAAACCTCAAATTCTACGTCACCTACAGCCGCGTGCGAGACAAGTGTCAATGGTACAGTGGAATCTGACCTGCCTGCAGCGGAAATGTGATGAGTGTTGCCAAAGCCTTTGCAAATGCTCCAATAACGAAGGCCTTCAAACGGCTGTTGGAACTGGATGTTCTGTTTATCCTTTGAAGCCATGAGGCAATGAGTTGTGTCGTCTTCCAAATTCCAGGCTTCCAAAAATCCACAAAGCATATGTTTCCAAGAATATGTTGAATATGTTCAATTAAAAAACGCCACTTGCAACTCAGAAGAGAGTGACACTGCAGCAGGCAAAACACAATTGTTTGGAATTAAATAAGGCAAACGGCTAACTCTAGTTTTACCAGAAGTTCTAAGCTGCAAAACTTGCGGCCTCGGCTGCTGAAATCTCTGCAGCATGCACATAGATAGCTTTTAGAAAGTCGTAGGCAAAGAACTGAATGACCTTTGGCGCAAGCGGCAAGTTTTGCTTTCACATCGGCTGCTTTCTATGACAAAAAACTTATGACTGGCAAGCGGATCTTCAATGAGCTGCAAAGTCAAGCCTCAGGAAGACTTGACCAGGTCAATTTTGCCAAAGCTCAAACAAGTACGTTAACAAATGTAAGTCTGCTGGGAGCCTTTGCATTGCTCATATTTAGAATTTAGAAGCTGAACGACGAAGCTAGACCATGCTAAACCGCTGTCAACCGCTGTCGGCCCTTGTGTTAGGCTCCCCAGCCGGGTTTGCCACTAGCCACAAAGATGTTCCGAGGCCACGCCAAAGTGCCCTAGTTTTGCGATTGTGACGGTCCAAAGTATGAGGATCAGGCCATTTACAAGATTGTTCTGCTTAGGAGAATCTCTGGTCACTGGCCTTGCTCCTTCCTGCACCCAGATTTTCTGCACCTGAAGCTCAATAATGCACAACCAACGCCATGCCATGCAACAAAGACATACTGCACGTGATCCCAGCAAAAAGGAATGCAGAAATGATCGCCAATGGATACGATACAATTGGTGTGATTAGTCTGCCAAAGAAATGCAAGCAACCCAAACTAGAACGGACATTGCATCACTTGCCTCGCTGGATCCTCTCTGACGCGAAACAACGCTCTGAAACTAAATGTGGGTCGGTGGGTTGCTCGACCCTTGACCAATCTATGAAAAACACACTCTCTTTTCAGTGGTGAACGATCATTGCAACACCACAGCGGGAGTAGGTACGACTCTTAGCTTTTGGACATGCCAACCAAAAAAGCATATTCTGCTTCACTGCTTCATCATCACCATTTAGACTGAACCCTACTACATAATTCGTTCAAAGCCTTGCATGTTTTTGTCTGCTCTCCTACTTGTTTTGCACTTCTTTTCAAATTGTTCAGAGCAGTGAAGTGGAGGCTGCTGTTTTGCCTGGGGAGCCTTCAGGGTATGGAAGGAAGTGATCGGAAGCAAGTAGCAAGATTGTATTTTTCAATGCGGGTGTAAATAGTGCGTCTTCAGGGCTGATGCCGCTGTTGATCAGCCTCCAAGTTGGAATGTAAAGTCATTCCATGAAGAATCTCCAATCACATGGGTTCCGCTCAAGTCAAATCAACGGGTCACAAGCCTTGTCAACAAGTAATACAGTAACCATTGCTTCAAACCTAATTGGTCAATTCTTTGGAACGAACAATCTTGGTGAAAGCTGCAAATGCATCCAACCGGTTGGGTACTGTGTATGACTTGCTTAAATGCTATTCCACATTAAACACGGACGTTGCTTGCACTGCTTCGGCTGCCAAGGCACTGTGGAGAACACGCCGCGGGCCCGAGGAGCTTCTTGCGAGCCTTAGTCTGCTAGTTCCTTCGCTCGCCAAATTAATTTGCACAGATGAAACTGCAGCTTGAGTCTAGGGAATAGATTGAACCTCTGACTTCGCAGAAAAAGAAACAACTGTTTCGAAAACAAAAGGTGGAATCAATATGAAGCTGCACCATGAAAGGGGCAAGACAAGGACACCACTTGACTTGATGTATCAAACCCAATATGCCCAAGAGTTATAAAAATCTTTCATTAGAGAGAGCCTGTTGTCATTTTTTTGAAGTCAATCCCAAAAATCAAAGTCAAACGAAAATCAAATCAGAAAGTTTCAGAAAGTCAAAAAAAAGTCAATTTGCACAGATCTGACTTTTTTGACGGTTTTGCGTTTTTTGTTGTCTTTTTTATTGTGTTTTTTTTCCGGTTTTTGTGTTTTTTTTGACTGTTTCGAGTGGTTGACTTTTGTTTTTCTTTTTTACTTTGTTGGACTTTTTCGAGTTTTTTTTTAATTATTTTGACTTTTCTGGAACTTTTTGACATTGTTTCGACTTCGACCTTTTTTACTTTTTCGAGCTGTGGTCTATGTTTGACTTCTTTTGACATGTGTTTTCTTCGACCTTTTTTTGACTTTTCAATTTGACTTTGTTTTACTTTGACTTTCCCATCATTTGACTTTTTTGATTTTTTTTAAATCAAGGATTCTGGCCTTACCAAATGAAAGATGTTATAACCCAAGATAACCCAAGAGTTAATCAGGTTTCGCATGTCTTCTTTGCGTGAAACACACGACCAACCAAACCAAACAATACAACAGTTCATCTCTCTCTCTCTCTCTCTCGCTCCCTCCTTCCCTCTCTCCCTCCCTCTCTCTGTAAAAATAATGGCCGAACACATTGCACTTTGGGTCCACGATTCGGTAATTTAATTTCTTTTCCGGGGATGTATAATTTGTTGCTTCTCACAAAACGTTGGAGAGGGACTTGGAGATGCTGCCTTTCGCTTTTTGCCCAGTTTAGTTCAGCTCCCGGTGAACAATGGGCTTCACTTGGCGCCACTTTCTTGCTTTTATGGAATCAAGGAATCCCTACAAGAAATTGGAAAGAGCCCTGTGAAGGAACGTCCGCAATGGGCCACAGCAGCCAACAAAATTGAAAGAAACAACAAATAGGCCCCTAGGACTCAGTTTGCTGGAGCAGTAGCGCGGAATGATTTTCCAAAGAACTGTCAAGAGCCTCAAGAGCCTGAGTGTGGAATGTCCATTGGGAGGCCACGACAGCAAACACATGAAAAGAAGACCGGTTTTGAGCATCCTAGGATCCTTGCTTTCCACATGATGTTGTCCTCTCAGATCTGTCTGCTTTCAGCGGGTTTAACATCTTGGTATCCATGCAATGCATTCCAAGTGCTTCCGTGCCTTTCGTGTGCTTCTTTCCTTTAGTCTCGATTGGCCTCCCTCTTTCCAGTTTTCCCAAAAGTCTAGGGCCACATCATTAGTGCGTGAGCTGTTATACTGCGTCCTAGCTAGTAGCGAACTTCTCCTGGTAGCTTACCTCCTCACTTGATTCAGTAGGACTTAATTAAGTAAGGAGACAGGGCCTCGGGGGCACCAAAGAATCATCCTGAACTGTTTCTGCGTCGTAGCGCCTAATCACTTTTCTTAGCTTGTCTATGCTTGTCTCCGTGTGCGCAAACTTACTAGCCGTCCTTGGCCTTCACAGCCGACCCCCAACCCAGTAATTTATAGAATGAATACATGTGAATACTCTAAATATTGAAACGCTACAGTACCTAAATATTACGGAATAATTACTATGTAAAAATACTATATTTATAAATTGAACATATACTATTCCTTGATTCTGTCTCATTCCGGCTTCAACGCCCGACTAGGCTAATGCATCGACCGGTGTCTTGTGCCCTCGTCTTTATCGTCTCGAGCGGAATTTTCGCGTGATTGCGATCATGTCGTGCCAAAGGTGCTCTTTGTGATTGTCTCCAGTGGTGTATGGGCGGGGCAAAGAAGAATGCAGCATGCATGTCGCTTAACTCTCATCATAATTTTGCGAATTGCAACATGATGCAACATGCATCTCTGATCATCTCTGTATAAGTCTCAAACGTCGAACTGTCTGACCGATCCGTCGCGAAACACTACGACGGCATCAACTATGACTATGACATCCTAGGTGCATTGACCAACTCTGTAGACTTCTTTCTGCTCTTAATTTAGGAGATGCTACACAATTTCCCGACTTCTGTCCTCCGCTAGCGCTTGCCTGCCGTGAAGATGAAGGGTGAACAGTGAACAGGTGAACAACTTGGAAAATTGGTACAGCTCTGCACTTGAAACTGCTTTCTGGAAGGAAAATCTACCTTCTGTCGACGCTTTTCAATATCATCTGTAAGCAAATTAATGGCATGCTCATCGGATTGATACCCGAGCACCGGAAGTTGACTACTTTTCTTTTCGGAGTACAGTGCTGCGATCAAATATATCAAATAAGAAAACATGATCGTCTAGTTCATGCTCAAGGCTTGGCCTTCCTTTGTAACATGAAATCTGCCCAGATGCTCTTACCTCTTCACACTAAGAAAAACAATACCACCTGCAAAATACCCTACGTTATATACATTTCAAACATCTCAAATGTTCGTAGTGGGCTATAGGCACGCGTAATACGACTATCCACTTGAGAGCACCCTCGGCTGGAGCGATCACATAACTCTACAGATCAAGGTGAAACTTGTGGCTCAGGCCTCGTCTAACCGACAAACATGATTAATTGAGCAATGCAATTGTTCAGTGCCGTTGTTTTGTGCAAAAGCTGGCCAAGGCCACAGTGCCACAGCATGCCGCGGCTGTGCGGAGAATTCAT